AAAATAAGATAGAAATGGGATTTAATTAAGTGTATTGGTCGATAGAGACCCAGAAGAGATAGGTGGAGGAAGGGAGGTGTGGGTAAAGAATGGAAAATAGATGGAGATGGGAACAATGGGGAAAAGAAGAGAAAGACGGGAGAGAGGTAAGATGGTGAGACTGGAGAGGAATAGAGCTCATGGTTGGGAATAGATTGTGTAACTACGACGAGAAAGAGCCAATGTGAATGAGAAAGGAATAGTAAGGGCTAAAGAAGAGATGTGAGTTAGGGAAAGAGGAGACAGTGGAATAAGTGTAGAGATCGGAGGAAAGGAAAGAAGGGTTAATATCGAAGAGGGGGGAAAAAAGACCATGATATAGTTCAAGGACTAAGGATGATGTACACATAAATAAAAAAAAAAAGAAATAAAACGAAAAAAAAAAATTAAACACACTACAAATAGAGAAAAAAAAAGGAAAAAGAGGAAAGAGAAAAAAAGGAAAAGGAGAAGAAAAAAAAAAAACAAAATAACCAAGAAAGTAAACAAAATGAAGAACGAGAAATATCGAGGGTAAATGAGTACTTAAAAGGGAGAGAGTAATAATGTAATCTCCTCATTGTAGTAAGACTCCACACCAGGACAGAAGTTCACAGACCCTCTCGACATATGCTGCTGATCTGACATTTTCCTCCCTCCTACTATCTCACTTTACATTACTCTTTTGCTAAATGCCTGCCAATGGAATAGGTATATGGCTTCCAATTAACAGATATAATAAGTATAAAAATCGAATATACGAACGAGGAAATTAATGATGACAAAAAGGTGTTTAACCATGTGATGGCCAGAAATATCGTTTAATAAAGTTATCACCTTCCCGAATCGGATTAGAATAAAGCAATAGAATTATTTGGCAAACGATTGCTCATCAACTGGACTTCGCACAAAAAATAGAGAATATAGAACCAATAATATCAAGTACAATGTGTCGCGTGCGTGGAGCGAAAAAACAGCTATTACAACCATTACTTGAGACATCAATGTGGCAGGTAGAACGTCCTTCGAAAACTTCCCCGGTGGTTGCGGGAATGGAGATAACTAGGAATGCTGAATTGAAGACAAGTAGAAATGGAGGTGAATAAAAAATTAGATATATAGATTCTATAGATTTAGAAATTGAGGAGTTTATTTATGAGAATAGTATAAATAAGAAAAATAATAAAATAAAATCATATTAATATGAGCTTAATTTATTTTTTATTATAAATTTATTTTTAGGTGAATAGAGGAGGAGGTATGTAATACGTTGTTCTTGTCATGTTTTAGAAAAGAAAGATGAATTGTAGATTCGTGTTAGGACGTTTCGCATGTTATTTGTATTGATTGATTTTGTTTTAGATTCTGGATTTGAGTAGAAATATGAATACTTGTTTTAGAACATAGAGAATAAATTGGTAAAGAGAAAAAAGATATAATAAAAAAATAAAAAAAGGAGATGATATGGCGTCCCGTGGATTTTTTCTTCATAAAGATCCTCTCCCCACACGTAACACGCACGATGAGCATGAATATTACAATGAAAGAGAAAATATCAGCAAATATATAAAGAGTTTAGAATTATAGATACGAATGTAAGGAATAAAAAAGGTAAAGACATCGTTGGACTATGTATGTAATCCTTTTATACCAAATAGATCTTCTGTCAGACAAATTTTGTAGCATGAAAAAAGAAATCACATAAGGAGTTTGCTTTTTCAGCTCGCTATCTACAAGCAATCAGTTATTCACATTTGAAATGTGGAACATAATAACTTAGAATGAGTTTAGACAAAGGTGTTATGTGAGGGTGTCATTCTACCAGAGAAATAAAAGAAATATAATATAACAATTCATCTTTATTTCCCTGAAGTAAGACTCATAGGGGAACAAGCGCTTTTTACTCCAAAGAATATTAATATATGGGTAAATAATGCAAATACTGATGTGTTCATATAAAGTACAAACAAAATTGAAACTACAATAAAACAACAAAAGTCATAATCTAATTAGTTACCACAAAATTAAAAGACTAAACACAATGGTACAAGGAAAACAACTAAATCATTATGCAAACCTACAACCTACAAGAACAACATACATTAACATACAGTGATTAACATCTACCTCAATGTTCATCATGCCTAAGTAATTGATAAATCTGATGCAGTTAATAAATACCTTGCAGAGTGGTGTCTCCACCTATGGAACACAGACAAAACCAAATTACATTGCTGAATGCCAAATCAGCAATAACGTTTATCAATATGAATAATTTCATATTCTAAACTCTTCTATTTCCTTTGTTAGTTGATTGTAGATTTATTTAGTCAAATAGCCAACCTACTATTGGAATGATGCAAAACTAAAAGGCACCTAAGCTAATGTATGAAGTATTCTTATTCATGAAAGACAAGCAAGATTCTCTTTCATTGTTTAAATGGGCGGAAGTTTTAATCATGTGTGAATCAGTAAATAAAAACACACAGTATTGATAGAGACAGACTTTCAGTAAAATGATAATAACAGCTACATCATTATCATTAAAGATAACAAATACAATTTTAACATCCTTACACATAAAAAAAAACATGATGATGACTGAGACATTAACACCAATACCCATGAAAGCAAAACAATCATCATTGTCTTAAAATCTAAAATGTTATCAATATCTCACCTTCAATCTTTGTTTCAGCTGACAGACGGGTATAGTTTAAGAGAGCAGCATTCTCTAGGCACTTTTCAATATCCTCACCTTTCGAAGGGCTTTGTTTCAGCTGGACAGCACGGGTATAGTTAAGAGCTAGCCAGCATTCATCTTTAAGGCCACTTTTCTATACTTCATGGCTCGTCTGCACCTCATGCATTGGGTCATCTTTTATTCGGCTCTAGACATGCTATATCTTTCCTATCCATATTATACTCTTGCCTATAGTATACCAGTTGAATAAAGCTTTATGTATTCCTGTCAAGCCTAACATGGTATTAGCGCAAAATGTGACCACAAGTGTAATTCTTTAGTTAAGTATTTTTTACTAACTTTGCATTATATGAACTCATCCATTCTACGATTTAAAGTGTCAGACACCGAAGGTGGCCTTTTAAGTATTGAAGGTCCGACAGTGCTGTTCTTTCTTTTAGCACGTTTTATATTGTCCTTGTCACATGTCAGTATCATATAGGCGTCTATCCGTGGTGGAGAAGAGTGCGCTACATATCAATTGTCGTAAGGACACGTATTTGGTTTGCGAGGAAGAATCAAATCTAGTAATTCGCGGATCTCTGACGGAGAGCTAGCTAAGAAGTAGACAAGATGATGAAGTAAATACGCACATGCGTGACGAGTTATGAGGCATGGCCGGCTCATGGAACACACCTCTCGAACGGGAAGAAACATCTCTCATATTTCAGTTATTGTGTAATATATGTATTATACATACCACATACACAAGCACACACGGCATACACACACACACACACACACACACAGCACACCACACACACGCACACACACACCACACACACACCACACACACACACACACGACACACACATATATATACATATTATATATTATATAGTAATATATATATAAGTACCTATAAGCATTTAAGTAAATACTATTAATATTACCTTACATCCTATGTATGATGTGTGTGTGGTGTGAGTGCCGATAGAATGGTGTTAGGTCGAGATGTGAGAGAGTAAGTACGATGGAGATATATATGTTTATATGTACGTTGTGTATACACAGGCACACATTAACCCACACACAGACACACACAATGCACAAACACGCCCATGCCTACACTCAAACACGCACGGCGTATAGAAACACACATACACGCACACATTTGTGTAATATATATAATATCATATATATATATATATATGATATATATATTACAAAACATATTATATACATAATATATTATACAGTTATATAAATATATATATATATATATATAGACTATACACCTCCATATATAAACATATATGATATATAGTTATAATATATATATAATATATATATATATACATAACAGTATAGTAATAACAGTAGATATATATAACAGATATGATATACATTATAGATAATAGTATATATATTATATATATATAGTTATACATTATATATAACATGATAGGGAGACGTCGAGGAAGAAGTGAGTGGGGCGGCTGTCGCCCCTACAATGGGCACGAGAGCCGACTGACGGAAGAGATGAAGAAGTGAGTCGAAGGGAGGGAGATGCCGTGAGAGGGTGAGAGATGGAGAGAGAGAGAAGTGAATAGGAAGATGTGTACAGGAAGAGTGGAGAACGATATATATTATATATATATGTTATGAATATATAGATATATATATAATATATACACACACACACACACACACACACACACACACACACACCAGCACACACCACACACATATATAATATATATATATATATAGTAGTATTGATAGATATAATTAATACTGATATATATATATATATAGTATATATATTTGAGAGAGCGATTACTAGTGAGCAGTGGCAGAGGAGACGAGAAATATATTGAATAATACTAGTATATTATTACGCTATATATATATAATAGTGAAATATTATATATATACTCTATACAGCATATATATACAAGCATTAGTATATATCGAGACGAGATATAGCAATATACTATATATAGGATATAGTATATTTAGTATAGGATATATAGATATATGAATAGATAC